TATTTATATATATATATATATTTTCTTTGGCGGAGACCGCTCGTCCGTGATTTTTCTTTGTCTCTTGCCTCGATCGTTATTCGCCTCGCGTACAGAAAGTCGAACAACAACGTTCCCCTATCCGTTCCCGCCTTAGCTCGATCCGAGAAGAACAATTTTCCATCGAATTACCTTACATACTTATTTATAGTATAATACGCTTTCCTACCACAACAACAGGATCCCTGATAAAAAAATCGGCGAATCTAAAGCGCGATACGCTTTGCTCCTATTTGACTCGGCTCCGTGTCTATGCGCGTTCAAGCATCATCACGAAAGAACACTTGAAACGAAACTCGGTTCCTCATCTCCGTTTTCTTCATCGCCAACTTCTCGCATACTTCAACGGAACATCTTTAAATATACTTCCGATATACCACGATATAAACGACATATATTCGATCGCATACACACGCATACACACGGAGATCTCGCTTTTCTCCTCCCGTACAAACAAACTCGCTCGCTCCAGCGCGGTTAAACGGCTCCTAAGTCGTGATCCAACGCGACCACGGATCGTAGAGCGGTGACAGAAGATCGTACGAGTCGTCGTCCGCAGGGAGGAAGAGGACAAAAGAGACGAGGGCACGCCGGGCGTGCAGCTCCTCCCGGCAGGTGAACGAGGCTTCGCCTCGTTTTTGACGCGAGTTGAACGAAGCTAGGCGACCGATTGTCGAGCATCTCCATCGTCGTCCTGGGCACCTGTCGCAGCAGCGGCTGCCGAGACGCGTGCAGCACACGCGACGACGACGACGACGCTCGTTGTTCCCATGACGCGTTCCTCCGCATCTTCCATCTCGTGATCGATTCCCTCGTGGTGAACGCTCCTCCTCGGGATGGCACTTCCTTCTCGACTCGACGAACGGCACGCTGGCGACAATAACCGGGGGTGAGAGACGAGCGATGGTTTGGATCTTTCGGCGGTGGCGGCGACAGCACTGGGACCTTAACACCCATCCTTGCCACCTGAAAAACGTGCAACGCTGCTGGCTTCGTCTTCGTTCCACCGCGCTTTGTCGACCGATATGTGAACATCGATATGTCGCATCGTGAACATTGAGAGTAATAATTTCTAAGAGTGGATTCAGTGTTCCCTAGGAATGGAACGAAACGTGAAAAAATTCATTGTTCGTGATAATCTTTGTGATAATATTCAAGCTGTGAGATAAAGAAATTTGGTGTGGATATCATATTTTTTTTGCAGATAAAATTTGGAGGATCGAAGATAGGTTTTTTTCCACTGTTAGAAAATGATTATACAATTTTTTTCGTTCCATCCTAATGTTCAATGTTCATCGTTGATGGCGTCAAAAGGAAAGTCAAAGATTTTGATTGAATTGATATTGGACATTAATTGAAATAATACTTGAATTTTCTCTGTAATTCTTCAGGATCAAAATCTTTGATCCTGAAACAGTGATGAATGATGAATGGTGAATTCCATTTGATACGAGACATAGTTTATGAAGTTGCAGAGGTCAGAGGAGTTATTTGATTCCCGAAAATATCCTAATTTCTAGAAACAAATGTTTCAAATCGTGTCACTGCAAAGGATTTATGGACGATTACCCGATGGAAAAGCGTAGTCACCCTTGGGGAACATGAAGAAATAACTGTGCTTGAAATTGTGCGAGTCTATCGATCTTCTTATACGGCTTTGCAACCTTGACGTTTAGCATGCAGTGAATTTCATATAGGAATAGGAATCATCTATCTTTCAATCAAATCTTTGAACGAATTGTCCTTTTAACCCTTTCTTCAACAGTGTTTTAATTAATAATAATTAATCAAGTTTTTGAATAAAAGTTGAGAAAAATAAATGCTAGATATTTTCTTTCTTTTTTGATGAGAAAACATATTTGATTAAAATAATGTGTCTTTTTTTTTATTCTTAATTTTTAATCCTTTCGTTGCAACGATTATATACCTTTCATTATCAATCTTGGCTGTTAATGGCCATCAAGCCTGTTCCAGCCTGTTCTCAGTGCTCGAAGGTCTGACAATAACGGCCACAACTACTTTGTTTCTAATTCTGTTGAGCAACGGACAGTTACCGTGAAGACAATATCGCTCAAACTTTGATGAATGTTAGTAAGTTTGCCAAAGTTTTGTAGTTCGAGGAGTGAGAGCTACTGCCTTGTCTCGTTTTGATACACTAATTTGTATTTCTAACGACGAACAAAACGCTCTTACGCGTATTTTCCATTAATTACAATCTCCATTAATATAATTTTTATTCTCGATTATTAATTGAGATTCACTGAAATTAGATATTATTGGAATTAATTCGAATAATTTTATCATTAGAAAAGATATATTCATCGATATTCGACAGGAAAGGATTAAAAATTTTGTTCAGGAATGTATAATGGAATACCTGTACGCCATCAACGATGATATTCAACAAGAAGAATGATGCGGCTAGCAAAGTGTTCCCCATGGGTCGACACTCGTGCAACACGCAACAGGAAGCTGTGAATCCACGCGTCGATTGTTATACTACCTCTCCAAATTAGTCCCATAACCCAAGTTGCAAGTTAATCGCGACACAATAAGATGAACGGACAATTCGTAATTATTATTATTTTTTTTTTTTTTTTGGTGCGTATCGTGCATGAGAGTTAATCAGTGTACAATATCGAGCTGTTTTATTATAGTTTTCGATACACGATCACTCGTGGAACTTATTTCGTTCATTCTTCAATATATCTACTATTCTTTATCCAAACGAAACAAAAACGCCTGGTCGTTTATATTATTTCTTTCACCGTTAATATGTTTTTAATCAGCTGCTCCTCAATATTTCTCTCACGAATACTCGGCCCATTCGATCGATCGACGAATTCTCGTTCTCGATCTCAATTTCTCGAACGACAATCGTTCATCGATCGTTCATGGATCGATCATGCGAATCGTGTCATCACATCGGCAGAGGGACCATGCAGGGACCGAGAATTCTGATCTAATAGGAGCAAAATATAGAAATCGAGAAAGAGAGAAAGTCTGCAAGTCTTTCTCCCTTGTTCAGAATCATCCACGTGGGTGTGATGTGTACCTTGATTGGACGAGTGTGAGGCTCACGATTGCGGTTGCGGTGTGCATGGCTCTCGCTTCTCTGGCATAGCCGGCGGTTTTATCACAGGCTTCTCTTCGGTTACGGGCGTGGGTGGAGCGTCCTTTCTTGGCGGCATCCTTTCGTTTATAGCGTCCAGACCCTTCGCCTCGGCGAACGAAGTGATTTTGTGGTTCGGTGAGAAACCTTGGAGAGCTGTGAACAATAATTCAATTCGTCGAAACAGTGCAATTTTTGGGAAAATGGGGATAACATTTGTTTCTATCTTCGTAATCAAATATCCAGAAAATTATTCCTTCTATACTATTGCATCATTTAATCCATTTATTATTCTATTTATTGTATTCGTTTGATCGATTGCTTACCGTTTTTTAGCGACGTTTTGCCACCCGATAACGCACCGAGAGGCAAAGCTCCAGTGGGCGTGAGCCCCTTCAATTGTAACACACTCTCGCTTTCCTCTCTGGAAGATCAAGACAAATTACAACGATAAGCAAATCGTATTGAGAGAGAGAGAGAGAAAAAAAAAAGAAAAAGAAAAAGAAGAAAAAACCAGAGCAGAGAAAAATGTTTCTCTTCGATTCTGCATTAATTAACCCGAACGAGCGTTATTCCAATTCCAATGCAAACCATTTATCCACGAAACGTTCGATATTTTTTCGGCGCGGAAGTTCGATCCGAATGAAGAACGAAACAGACGATTTTTCACCGCGAGTTATTTTCCATTTTCGATTTTCTCCCGAGTTCCTGAGGCAAAAGTGATTAACAACGGTAAAACGGACGTGGGATTAATCCTTTGAAAAGCATTCCGTTTTTCTCTGATTACCGATCGACTGTGAAAATTCGATCGATTTTCGTGGCAATATTTCACCGACGTTAATGAATTCTATCAACGTAATTGGAATATATTCGTTTCACAGGGCAGAAGAATTAATTACTTAATCGTCGGTGTAGGATTTCGCGCTGATGAAATATTGTACTTCTTATTCTCTCATATTATTGTCTCTTATATTGTTATTTATATTTCTCTTGCGAAGATTCGATAGAGAATTTTGATACTTTAAGAAAAACGGAAAAATTAATCGTATTAGATTTCGATCTATTTCTAATTTTTAATTATATTAAATTACTGACCTCAGGACGGAGAAGACGCGCGCCATTTTGCCAATGGCTCTGATCTTGTTTCTGATAACCTCCTTGCGTAGATTGGCTGCTGCACCTAGAAAAGTGAGAATAATCAGTTTGAAAAATCTGTTCTTGAAACAAACTTTTCTTCGTTTTGTGATCCACGAAATCGCGAAGGCATAATGCAAACAAATAGGATTTAGCACTAAAGATTACTAGAGCCTAGTGAATTTCTAGCATGATGTCTCTAGCGAACAATTCGTGTAAATTACTCATAAAGAGCGTTATCTTCGAAGATGATATTATGTATAAGTAGCTACGAGAAACAAAGAAACGAAAAAAAAAAAAAAAGAAAAAAAAAA